TCAGGAAGTGAGAGACTCTCAACTTTTTTTCTTCTTAAGTAATGTTTTACTTATCCGAGGTCTCTTTTCTTTCCATATAAAGTCAGTGGTGATTTTTCCCATTTCTTTAAAGAATGACATTGAAATCTGGATTGGGATTGTATTATATCTATAGATTGCTTTGGGTAATGCTGACATTTTCACAATATTAAGCCTTCCTATCCATGAGCATGGTGTATTTTCCCATTTTTGTAAGTCTCTTTTTGATTGGTATGGCAGGGTTTTGTAGTTTTCTTTGTATAGGTCTTTTAAATCTCTGGTTAGATTTATTCTTAAGTATTTCCTCTTTTGGGTATCTACAGGGTTTTCGATGGCTGATTTTTCAGAATAATTGCCAGACCTTTCTTCTGAGGTACTTTAGGGTGGAGTCGAATCTCCAACCTCTCAGTTAACAGCAAGTACCTTAACTATTTGTACCACCTAGAGACTCCATATATTGTTAATTCACTGCCATTGAGTCAATTCCCACTCATAGCGACCCTATAGGACAAAGTAGAACTGTTCCTTAGCATTTAAGAGACTAAATCTTTTCAGGAACAGTGTGGTTATTGGGTTTGAACTGTTGACCTTGCAGTTACCAATGTTTTTTCCTGTCCAGCAAGAATTTGTCAATTTCTTTGTCTTGGCTAAGTAGCCAACCACATTCGCTAATTCAGTTGTTGTTGTTAGGTCAGTACTGACTCATAATGACCCTATGTACAACAGAATGAAACACTGCCCGGTCCTGGGCCAACCTCACAATTGTTGAACCCATTGATGCTGCCATTTTGCCAATCCATCTTGTTGGGGTCTTCCTCTTTTTCTCTGACTCTCCACCTTACCAAACATGATATCCTTCTCCAACGACTGGTCCTTCCTGACAGACAATATGTCCGAAGTATGAGAGAGGAAGTTTGACCATCCTGGCCTCCAAGGAGCACTCTGGTTGAACTTCTTTCAACACAGATCTGTTCGTTCTTTTGGCAGCCCATGACACTTTCAATATTCCTCCAACACCATAACTCAAATGCATCAATGCTTCTATAGTCTTCCTTACTCATTGTCCAGCTTTCACATGCCTATGAGGTTGTTGGAAATATCATAGCTTAGGTCAGGTGCACCTTAGTCCTCAAGCTGACATCGTTGCTCTTCAACACTTTAAAAAGGTCTTAGCAGCAGATTTGCCTAATGCAATACATCATCTGATTTCTTGACTGCTGCTTCTGTGAGTGTTGATAGTTGGTCCAAGAAGAATGAAGTCCTTGATAACATCAATCTTTTCTCCATTGATAAGAATGTTGTTCATTGGTCCAGTAGTGAGGATTTTTGTTTTCTTTACATTGATATGCAATCCATACTGACGGCTGTGCTCTTTGATCTTCATCAGTAAATACTTTAAGTCCTCTTCACTTTCAGCAAGCACGGTTGTATCATCTGCATATTGCAGGTGGTTAATGAGTCTTTCTCCAATCCTGATGCCACGTTTTTCTTCGTATAACCCAGCTTCTCAGATTATTTGCTCAGCATACAGGTTGAATAAGTATGGTGAAAGAATACAACCCTGTTGCACACCTTTCTTAATTTTAAACCATTCAGTGTTCCCATGTTCTGTTCGAACAATTGCCTCTTGGTCCAGGTATAGATTCCTCATGAGCACAATTAAGTGTTCTGTAATACTCATTCTTTGCATTGTTGTCCATAGCTTGTCAAGATCCACAATATCAAAAGCCTTGGCATAGTCAATAAAGCACAGGGAAACATCTTTCTGATAGTCTCTGCTTTCAGCCAAGATCCATCGGACATCAGCAATGATATCCCACATTCCACGTCCTCTTCTGAATTCAGCTTGAACCTCTGGAAGTTATCTGTCAATGTATGCTTGCAGCCATTTCTGTATTACCTTTAGTAAAACTTGACTCGCATAGGATATCAAAGATATTGTCCGATGATTTCTGCATTCCATTGGGTCACCTCTCTTTGGAATGGGCCCAAATATGGATGTCTTCCTATCAGTCAGCTAGATAGTTGTCTTCCAAATTTCTTGGCATAGATGATGCCACTTCACTTTCTTGAAAGATTTAAATTTTTATTCCATCAATTCCTGGAGCCTTGTTCTTTGCCAATTCCTTCAATTCACCTTGGACTTCCTCCTTCAGTATCATTGGCTCTTGATCATATGTTACCTCTTGAAAAGGTTGAGCATCAACCATTTCCTTTTGGTACAGTGACTCTGTGCCAGTCAGTGTGTCGTTCTGTGGTGGCTTGTGAGTTGCTGTGATTCTGGAAGATATGCCACAGGTATTTTAAAAAGCAGCAGGGTCACCTATGGTGGACAGGTTTCAGATGAGCTTCCAGAGGAAAACAGGAAGAAGGAGTGACGAACTACTTCCAAATATTTAGTCACTGAAAACCTTATGAATTGCAGAGAAACACTGTCAGATATAGTGCCGGAAAATGAGCCCCTCAGGTTGGAAGGCACTCAAAATGCGACTGGGGAAGAGCTGCCTCCTCAAAGTAGAGTTGACCGTGATGACGTGAATGGAGTAAAGCCCGGTGGACCTTCATTTGCTGATGAGGCACAACTCAAAATGAAGAGAAATAGCTGTAAACATCTATTAATAATCGGAACATGGAATGCACGAAGTATGAATCTAGGAAAATTGGAAATTGTCAGAAATGAAATGGAACACATAAACATCGATATCTTAGACATTAGTGAGCTGAAATGGACTGGTATTGGCCATTTTGAATCTGACGACCACATGGTTTACTATGCCGGGAATGAAAAATTGAAGAGGAATGATGTTGCATTCATTGTAAAAAAGAACATATCCAGATCAGTCATGAGGTGCAACGCTGCCTGTGATAGGATAATATCCTTGCGCCTTCAGGGAAGCCCAGTTAATACCACTATTATTCAAATTACCAGTGATTGGAATGCAAAGGTTGGGAACAAAGAGGAAGGATCAGTAGTTGGAAAATATGGCCTTGGTGATAGAAATGATGCTGAAGATTACATGATAGAATTCTGTAAAACCAATGATTTATTCATGTCAAATACCTTCTTAGACAGCATAAGAGATGACTTTACACATGGACCTCACCAGATGGAATACACAGAAATCAAATTGACTACATCTGTGGAAAGAGATGATGGAAAAGCTCCATATCATCAGTGAAAACAAGGCCAGGGGCAGACTGTGGAACAGACCATCAATTACTCATATGCAAATTCAAACAGAAGTTGAAGAAAACGAAAACAAGTTCAGAGAGCCAAACTATGACCTTGAATATATCCCACCTGAATTTAGAGATCATGTGAAAAACAGATTTGATACATTAAACACTAAAGACCAAAGACCAGAAGAGTTGTGGGATGACATCAAGAACATCATACATGAAGAAAGCAAAAAGTCATTAAGAAGACAAGAAAGAAGGAAAAGATCAAAATGGATGTCAGAAGAGACACTGAAACTTGCTCTCCAGCATAGAGTTGCTAAAGCAAATGGAAGAAATGAGGAGGTACAAGAGCGGAAATTTTCAAGAAAATTTCAAAGGTCAGCTCAAGAATCCAAAGTCAAATATTACAACAAAATGTGCAAAGATCTGGAGTCAGAATACCAAAATGGAAGAATATGCTTAGCATTTCTCAAGTTGGAGTAACTAAAGAAAAAATTCAATCCTCAACTTTCATTATTGAAGGATTCTCTGGGCAGATTATTCAATGATACAGAAAGCATCAAGAGAAGATGGAAAGAATACACAGAGCTAATTCAGTAGGTAATATTAATATAAGGGTTTTATCCTAGGATTGATTTTATAAATACAACTGTCATTGCCAAAGGGAATGTTTCACCGGCTTCTGGAAAGCACCTCTTTCTCAGCCTCTTGGATCTACTATCACGGTAGACCCTGATAGACCTTCCTTCCTTTCTGCCACTGCTCCACCGTAACAGGTGTTGCTGTTGTTAGCTGTTGTGCGTCAGTCTCCAACTCATGACATCCTATACACAGTAGGATGAAATGCTGTTTGGTCCTGTACCACCCCAACGATTCATTGTGAATTGGGCTAGTGTGCGTCATAGGGTTGATTTTCAGAGGCAGGTTGTCAGGCAGATGACAGATGAGTGCATATTGACACATGTTGTATATTGACTGGGCATTGAACCTGGGTCTCCAGCATGGAAGGCGAGAATTCTATAATGGGATCACAGGTGTGTGAGTGATAAATCAGACCAACCCTCCGAGGGGGCACTTTGGAGGCCCTCATGCTCCCAGGGGCTTGAAGTTCTCATTTGTTGTTGTTAGGTGCCATGGAGTCGGAACCGACTCATAGCGATCCCATGCACAGTAGAACGAAACAATGTCTGATGCTGGGCCAACCTCATTACTGCTGCCACACTTGAGTCCATCAGTGCTGCCACCTGGCCAATCCATCTCGTTAGGGGTCTTCCTCTTTCTCTCTGACCCTCCATCTTATCAAGCATGATATCCTTTTCTAGTGACTGTTCCCTCCTGACAATATGTCCAAAGTATGAGAGACGAAGTTTGGCCATCTTGGCCTCCAAGGAGCACTCTGGCTGCACTTCTTCTCATAGAGACAGGAAACTCGTGTCGACTAAACACAGCAGGCTCTGCGCCAGGACCCTACCTTCCCCTTTCATCTCATCCCTACACAGTCTCAGATTGATGTCTTCATTGTCGAGATTATGCTCAGAGAGGTAGAGCTAGTTACCCAAAGCCACACAGTAAGCAAGTGGCAAAACTGGGTATCAAACCCAGGTCCTGGATCCCCCACACACTTTCTGGTCACCTCCATTCTGGATGGGGATTGTGAGAGTTATCTTTTCTTTTCTTCCTCATGCCTGGACCCATTGCCCTGGTGCCAGGCCCTTTCCTGGGGCCTCCTGGGATGTCTGCCATGGACCAAGGGGGACGGGGGCGGGGGGCGCTCAGGGCACCTCTTACATTGTCTCCCTCAGTTTTCATCAGCTGCCTGCTGCTGTCTGCACCAGTGTTTGGCTACTTGGGCGACCGATACAGCCGCAAGCTGACGCTGAGTTGCGGGATCCTACTGTGGTCAGGAGCTGGTCTCTCCAGCTCCTTCATCTCCTCCCAGGTATCTTCTCCCAGTCACCTCATGGGCCAGAACCATGGGAGTTGGGTGGTGATGTTTGGCTCCATTCTAGGTTCTAGGTTTAGGGCTTGCCCACAGGGGCCAGAGCTGGTTCAACTTTCCCAATAACAGGGTGCCACCTATGGCTTCACTTCTGCCTGACTCTGCTGAGGGTGTGGGCGTGGGGTATCAGCTACTGTCTTGGGGAGCTGGCCTGGTTGAAGGGCTTCCCTGGGTGTGGAGGGAGGTAATTGGCTGTAGGCTGCAGGCACCAGCAGGCAGCGTCGATTTTGGGAAAGGAGACCTCGTGGCCCTATGAGTTACACGTTGGCCTGCTAACTACAAAATCGGCGGTTCAAACCCACCAGCCACTTCACAAGAGAACAATGAGGCTATCTGCTTCTGTAAAACTTACAGCCTCAGAAACCCTACACAGGGTCACTGTGAGATGGAATCAGCTCTATGGCAGTAGGTGGGTGGGGTGGCCAAGGATGGTGAGGTTTCTACAGTCTTGATCCCTTCTCCCTCCTGTGGGGAAACATACATCATAAGGTCCCCTTGGGTGGTTTCTGGAATTCCCTGTGTTCCTGCCCAGTATCCCTGGCTCTTCTTCTTGACCCGGGGCCTCGTGGGCATCGGCACAGCCAGCTACTCCACCATTGCACCTACCGTCCTGGGTGACATCTTCGTGAAGGACCAGCGGACTCGCGTGCTGGCCATCTTTTATATATTCATCCCTGTTGGAAGGTTGGTATCAATCCTGAGTCTACTTCCCCAGATAGTTAACTGAGGTCCAAAGGAATCAGAACAGGTGCTGGACTTGCGGATAGGAGAGAGCAAACCAGGAGATCAGGGTCTGAAATCCCAATTCTATCCCCTTTCTGACCATATCACTCTATATCACTAAGCCTCAGTTTTCCTCATTTGTAAATGGGGGCAATAACACCCACTAATGGGTTGTGATAAGGATGACTAGACCACATGGGTTAATTCCTTTCGGGAAGGGGACAGGCAAAATGGGAGTGTGGCCTGGGGCCCACTCAGGGTGTGGTGATTCTGGGATGTTATACAAGGAAATGTGTCTGGCAGGCCTGAACCCCAAAGAGTATGATTTGCAGAGTGGGATTTTCAGCTAGACCCCTGAGCTCTGACCCAGGTTTCCTGAACTGGCTTGACTCAGGCAGGGCTGTGCCTTGGGTGGGAAGTCTTCATATGATGAGAGAATGGCTCTGGGGGTGGGCCAGGAGCCAAAGGTCACCGGTGAATTAACCAAGGGCAGCGGACATCTGGACCTTGTATGGCTCACTTTTTCTTGGTATTTCTGAGGGCTGTGAGCCTGCTGAAACCCAACTCCCTGGGGTGGGGGCACCCTGGTCAAACTGACCCTGGGCAGCTTCCCTGCTGCCCTTCACTGTCCATTTCTCTTGCCTCTCTGTTGCAGTGGTCTGGGCTACGTCTTGGGGTCGGTTGTGACCAAGCTGACTGGGAACTGGCATTGGGCCTTCCGCGTGAGTCCAGCTTCCTTTCTCCCCTCTGCTCCTCCCTCCCCTACTCCCCAGGCCAGCTGGGACTTTCCAGCCTTCTTGACCTTAGCCACTTGGCATGGTAACTGGCGCCATGATGAGGAGGTGGTCAGATGTCAGCACTTTGGGGTATTTGAGGACCCGTGGTAATGGAAGCTATGGCCCTGGGTTCAAATTCCAGCTGCTCATTTTAGTAGCTCTGTGACCTCAAGAAAGTGGCCTCACTCTTCAGAGCCTCAGTTTGTCTACCTATAAAGTAGGGTAGTAAATGTCACTTTGTGGAAATTAATGAGACAACGTATGAAAAGGTCCTGAGGGCCCCTGGGCACATAGTAGGTCCTTAGACAGCAGCAGCTAGGGTTACTCAGATGGTGACTTAGGATCCCTGGGAAAAGACCTGGTCAATCCTGTCAGGGATGCAGTTATCCTTGCATCAGACCAATCAGAAGAGGAAGAAACTCAATGGCAGAGAGGGCTGGGGGCTTGGTCCTGGAAGAAGAAGCCTTGAAAGTGATTTCTGGGTGCAGACTTCTGTGGGACCCTCCCAGTGCTGGGGAAGCTGTCTGTGAGGCTGTGGAAGGCAGAATCAGTCCTGGGCTGGGGTGGGCTTTAGGGAGCTGGGTCTGAGCTTGGCCTGAATTAGAACGGTCTCATGGTCTAAGCTGTTTAAAGGTTGTCCTAAGGCAGGTCATGAACTCCCCATCCTTGGGGGTATGAGCAGGGGGGCTGCTAGGAGAGGGCACTAGGGCAGGACTAGTGTAACTGGTGAAGGCACTGGTCAGGAAACGGGACTGTTCTTGGGGTATGTGGTGTCCATCCAGTTTACAACTGACATAGTATATTTAGGATTTCAGCTCTCAACCACCTTGGCCCATTGAACTGAGCTCAGGTAGTAAATCACATCCGTGACTGCACTCTGCAGAGTTGAGAAGCCACGGTGTGTCTAGCTCTGTGTCTAACCAGCACCCAACGCTCAGTGTGTCTCAGGAGCCTGGGCCCAGAGTTCAGCCGCTGTGGCCAGTCACCCCAGGGCCTCTAGGTCATGGTAGCATGCTGCCCTGAGCTTCTGGATCTTCCTGTTTCCAGATTATGCCCTGCCTCGAGGTGGTGGCCTTGGTTCTGCTCCTTGTGTTTGTTCCAGACCCGCCCCGGGGAGCTGCTGAGAAACAAGACATGGCAGACATGGGGGGCCTGATGAGCAGCTGGTGTGTGGATGTCAGATACCTGGTGAGAAAGTGAGTACCCCTGATCATTGCTGCATGGCACAGAAAAGTCATCTGTTCCCGCTCTCAGCCTCCACCTCTAGGGAGCCCTCCCTGATAGTGCCTGCATTTACAAACCCCGTTTCTCTCCTGAAGCATGCCCTTCACCTGGGCATGCCCTACCCTATCCCCAGGTGACAAAAATCTGGACTGGAAGTGAGGCAGGTGGCATGGGCTCCAGCCTTGGCCCTGCCCTTGCCTTACCTCCCAGTGTCCCTGAGACTCACAGCTCACTTTTGTCATTTGTTGGATGGATATAATCTTCAGCCTTCCTGCTTCTTGGGGCTTCAGGGAGGAGCTGGGTGTTAATCACTCACCTCTCTCAGCTTCTCTGGTCTAGGCATGGCGGGGGAGGAGGACAGGAGTCTACGGGACCCTAAGGCCCTGTGAATCACTGAGATGGGCCAGCAGGGCCTAGTTCTTGTTGTCACCGTTGAGGGGACTCAGAGGAAGAGGGATCAGGGATGGCTTCCAGGGCGATGTGATGCTGAATGATGGGGAGCTTTTGTTCTGCTGGGAGGAGGGAGCAAAGGTGTGCACGTGGGCGGTGCAGTTGTTCTCAGGGGGCGCCGGGGAGGCAGGAGAAGGAGTAGGTGCAGTCAGGCCACCTTCTCTTACAGCCGGAGCTTTGTGTGGTCGACCCTTGGAGTGACAGCCATGGCCTTTGTGACTGGAGCCTTGGGTTTCTGGGGCCCCAAGTTTCTGTTTGAGGCCCATGTGATCCACGGACTGCAGCTTCCCTGCCATCAGGAACAGTGCGACAGCCAGGACAGGTGAGTGGGGTTCACGGTGAGGAAATTCTTTCGAGGTTTTTAGCTGCAAACCTCAGTCCTTCTGTGTACACGGTGCTCTGTGGAGACAATAGGTCTGTGAACTCCCTGCCAGGCAGGAGGTCTGGTTCTTGCTCTGGCTCCATCCCTGCTGCCCTAGGTGGCTATGGGCAGCTATCTGGCCCTCTTTGGGCCTAAATCCCTCTCTTTTTATGCGTGAGACTTCTGTGGGAGTCCAGGAGGCATAGGGTAGGAGGTAAGGCTTCTATGGGGCCTGAGAGGCGACAAGAGTCTTGGACAACCTTCCTTCCTTCCTTTCTGTCAGGTCATCCTATTTTACAGATGGCACACTGAGGCACTTGTCAGCATAGCTCGTCACCATAACTAACCAGGATTAGAGATTTCATGCATATGTTATCCATCACCTTCCCCATCTGAGGCTCTGAGAGTCCAGGGGAAAACAGAGAGCCTTGGAGGCACCACAGTGCAGGCATTCTGCCCTCAGAGGTGCCCCTCCCATATCCTACCTGCTGGTCCCTCCTCACTCTGCTGTCTTACATCTTTCACTCCATTCTCCAAGGACATGAGTGACTTCCTGGATGCTGATTCAAGTACCCCTTTCATCTGTCTTCCCTTTGAAGCCCTCCCTTACTCCCAGTGTCCTCCTTTCTCTGCTGACGCTTTGCCATCTCTTTGTGGTTCCCTCTTCCTCTTTGATCCTGCCTAGGAAGTTTCCTCAGAGTTTCTCAGGGCCATGTGCTTTAAAAAAAATTGTGATTTAAAAAAAAAAAAAAAAAAAAAATATATATATATATATATATATATATAAAACACAACATTTGCCAATTCAACATTTTTCACATGTCTGCTTCAGTGACATTCTTCATGTTTTACAACAACTGCCAAATGATCCATCACCAAATACAGAAACTCACTGCTTTCTAAATAACACGTTCTCTTCACTCTCTTCCTCCACACCACCCCCCACCCCTGACAACCGCTAACAAACTTTTGTCTTTATGCCTTTGCCTAACCTAGATATTTCAGATAAGTGGGATCATATTTGCCCTTCTGTAATGGATTTATTTCACTCAGCATGTTTTTAAGGTTCATCTTTGTTATAGAATGTATCAGGATTTCATTTCTCTCTATAAATATTCTAGTGTGTGCAGATGCTGTATAGTACCACGTTTTGTTGATCCATTTGTCTGTTGATGGACATTTGGATTGTTTCCACCTTTTGATATTTATGAATGGTGCTGCGGCGATGTGTTTGTTTGGTGTAGGTATCTGTTTGAGACATTGCTTTCAAGTCTTAGGTAAATATCTAGATGTGGAATTGCTGGGTCATAAGGACTCCATCTTGGTGGGACAAATGGGTAAGGACTTGACTGCTAACTGAAAAGTTGGTGGTTTGAATTCACCCAGCATCTCCACAGGAGAAAGATCTGGTGATCTGCTTCCATAAAGACTATAGCAAGAAAACGCTCTTGGACAGTTATTCTTCTCTGTCACATGTTGTTGCTATGACTTAAAATACACTACAAGGAGCTCTGGTAGCGTAGTGGTTACGAATCGGGCTGCGAACCTTAAGGTCAGCGGTTCGAAACTACCAGCCGCTCCGTGGGAGAAAGATGAGGCTTTCTACTCCCGTAAAGATTTACACCCTCGGAAGCCCTGTACAGGGTCGCTATGGGTCGGAACCGACTCTATGGCACTTAACAACAACAACAACAACAGTAAGTTAACAACAAAGGCTTCCAAGATCTTCCTGCAGCTCCATCCTCCCCTGAAGCTTCAGTTAAGTCTGCTTCTTTGCTGGTAGCTCCTGCTTCAACCTCCTTCTCCCGGGTCTCCTGTTTTGCTTCTCCCCACTTTCCCTGATCACATGACCTGACATTCCCAGAATCTCCCATGCACTCTCATTTGTCTGTACTTTTGCCCAAATTGTGTCCACTGCCCATGCCTCCCTCCACCTTTCTCACCACTATTTATTAAGTCCTTACTTTAGTCCTGGCTCTATACTAAGCATTTAGCATCAAAACCACCTGAGGAAAGTATTTCTGTGGTTCCTATGAGAGACGGGAGCTCAGAGAGGTTAAGTAGCTTATCCAAAGCCACACCATTAACGAGGGGCAGAGGCAGGATTCAAATCCATCTGATTCCAAAGCCTGTGCTTTTAAACTCTGTGTTCTGTTGCCTCTGGAGACTGTCTGTTCTTGGTAATTGACTTTTCACCTACATGCTCTGCTTTCTGGCACACAGTAGGTGCAGAGGGAAGCTTGTGAGTAAATGCATTAAGTGTATGAATATGAGGAAGCAATGTTTGTCTTGGCTTGATAGTTCTCTCTCCTCCCCTGAGACAGAGTCCTAAAAGCCCCTTAGCGACTTGAAAAATTGGAGGAAAAACAGGATCCGATGCCACAGCAAGCATTCACTGGCTTTGAAGTTTAGGGAAAGCACTTTCTCATCCCTCCTCCCTCTAACTCAGCTCCTTCACAGAACCTTTGTGGGAAACTGACACGGAAATTCCTATTAGTATCCTGTGACTACCTAACAAATTACCAGGAACCTGATGGTTTAAAACAACAAAAATGGATTCTCTCACAGTTCTGGAGGCCAGTAGTCAAAAATGGTTTCACGGGGCCCAAATCAAGGTGTCTGGGAGCTCTGGGGGGAGCATCAGTGCCTTGCCTCTTTAGCTTCTGATGGCTGCCAGTATGTTGTGTCTATGGCCACATCACTGCAGTCTGCCTCCATGGCCACTTTGCTCTCACTTCTTGTGTTTGAAATCTCACTCTGCTTCTCTCTTGCAGGGACACTTGAGACCAGGCTAATCTTCCTATCTCACGATCCTTAATTTAATCACATCTGCAAAGTCTGAAAGTCTTAGGACATAGACTTCCTGGGCATCAGTATTCAGCCTGGTGTACAGTGGGTGAAAGGTGTTCATGTGGAGGTTCTACACTGATGTCGGTAATTAATACACTGACTTTGATTAGGATGAGCTTCAAGGTGAGGCAGGGGCAGGGGCAGGAAGTGGCAGGACCCAGAATTCCAGCTCAGCCTGAGGAATATCTTCCAGTACTCACAGCTGACCCAATGGAAAGGGCTGCATTGAGGATAGTGAGCTTTCTGTTCCTGAGGTATGTAAGTGTGGGGAAGGGGCGGAATAGCTGTTTGACAAGATTACTGTGTGTTGTTGTTAAGTGCTGTTGAGCTGGCTCCAACTCATAGTGACCCAGTATAGGGTTTCTGAGGAGTGGCTGGTGGATTTGAACCACTGATCTTGCAGTTCAAACCAACCTTCCCGTCAGTGCTTATCCTACAGCGCCACACCAGGACTCATTGTGTAGGAGGCCAGATAGGATTTTCAGGTCTCTAGTAGGTAGTGATTATGAGTCAGGCTGCTAACCTCATGGTCAGCAGCCATTTTCTGGGAGAAAGATGAGGCTTTCTGCTCCTGTAAAGATTTACAGCCTCAGAATGCCATGGATCAGAATCGACTCCATTGCACATCACTGCAACGAACCACCACCTGACTCTGAGGAGTCCTAGTGTGGTGCTGTGGGTTGATGCTCTGGATAGCAAGGTAGGCGGTGAAACCGTATACAGGGTTGCTATGAGTTGGAATCGACGACGTGAGGGCACTTAATAACAACAGACTCTGAGGGTGGTCTGTGATTCTAGGAAGGGCTTGTGGACATGGAGGAGGGGTCTTTTAAAGATCCTGTTCAAAGGTAGCTGGGGTGTGTCCTCAGACCACACCACCTGCTAAAGGGTTGATGGGGGCAGGGGTGGTCCTTGTCTAGGCTGACTGTCTGAATAACAAATCCAAAGTCTCACAGAAGTCCCAAGAATCTGCTAAGGCTGGCTCAGAGGCAGATGGCATTCCTCCGGGATTCTGGGTCACTTGACTGGTCTGAGCTGGAACCTTGCTCAGCTTGGAAGGCTGGGTAAGGTCTGTGAGCACCTTTAAGCTGCCGAAGAGCCTACATGCTTCCGTCTGATGGGTAGAGGGCCAGCAGGCCCTGATTCTTGCCCCTGAGGAACTGTGTGACCTTGGGCAAGCTCCTACCCTCTCGGAGCTCCTTGTTTTCTCCTGTGCACTGAGGGGGTTGGGTGAGGAAGTGATCTCGCTAGTTCTCAGCCCATGAGATGGACATTTCACAGAAATTGTTTAAAGGAGATATGATTTGTGATGCCCATTTGTTCGTAAGTATAATCCTGTGCCTGTTACTATGTCTTAGTAGGGGCCACAGAGGTAACAGCAGGGTACCTCTGCCATCCCATCCTCTTCTGGAAATGTTTGGGTCTGGGAGGGGATACTAGCCAGGTGGAAAGGGTGGATGAGGGGGATGATACTTCAGTCGAGGGAACCTGAAAACATAGGGCAAGTTGAGAGAATCCCCAGTAATTGTTGCAGGGCAAGGAGAGAGGGAAGGGACCGGACGTTCAGGACATTGAATGTTGGCTGGAGGGCTTGCCTAGAAGACAGTGGGGAACCATTGAGGGGCCTGAAGCAGGAAAAGGTCATGGTTAGATTTGTGTTTTGGAGAATGCATGCTGCTAGTCTCAGCTATCCGTTTGCGCTCTTGTAAGAGGGGAGAGAAGGATGTTTCAGGAGGACAAAGATGTGTCATTTAATAGCACAGTAGTCTTTGCCTTAACCTTTCTCAAACTTCACCTTCCTCATCTGTTCCACCTGGGAATTCTGGGAGGTATTCATGAGCTCATTTGCTTACCATGTATATTTTGTGTATCAGGATCTATGTTCCCAGGAATTCAAGGACCAGTGAATGACCCTGATGAAAGAGACAAAGAAGGTGCTATGGGAACTGAAGGGGATGAGGAAATCAGCAAGGGGACATTTATGATGGTTCTTGAAGGATGAGTAGGAGTTCGATAGGTGGGAATGAAAGTATGAGGTGGGGCTGTGGGGTGGGGAAAATTAGTGAGGAGCAGAAGAGAATAGAGCCAGAGACTGGAGTTGAGGTCAGCCAGGGTCAAATCATAAAGGGCCAAGCAAGCCATGATACAAAGTTGAGACCAAATCCAGAAAGTCTTTAGGTGGAAAATTTTAGGCAGATGATGGGCAGGGGCAGGGTCATATCTTCATCTCAGGAAGCACCCTTGGGGGGCTTGCATGGAGGCTGTTCTGGAGGGGCAGATCTCTGCAGGAGGGAGACACAGGGGGGGGTGAGTGGGTACAAGAGTAGGTGGGAAACTAGAGATTTCAAGAGGGGCTGCTTGAGGTGTTCAAAGATGGATAGTGGAAGGTTGTGATTCTAGGAGGCAAAGTGTGTCCACTGTTCCGACAAGGGCTGGGTATGTCATCCAAACAAACCCCTGCCATCGAGTCACTTGGGACTCATACTGAACCTCCAAGGGATTTCCAAGGCTGTGAAACTCCTATCCCCCATCTCCACCCAAGATAGCAGGTCTGCGAAAACAACTTTACAACTACCAGAGCTGACCCAGGGTGGCTGTAACAGGTTGATGGGCAGGGCTGGGGGGTGGAGACAGAGGAGGAGGATGAGCCTTTGTTCTGCAATTCAGAACACTTTGTTGGCCTGAATTCTGGTCTGTTCAACTCCTGAGGGACAGTGTGACTTCAGGCAAGTTGTTTCACTCCTCCAGGACTGTCTGCTCAGACATGGCAGGGGGCAGGGAGGGACAAGGCTAGAGGTTCAATCCCACTGTGGTATCCTCTGGCAGACTTTGTAGCTCAGCCCTGTTCAGTGCTTGATAGAGGAAAGAATACTGCTCTGGAGCAGACAACAGAGTCTAGGTTCTGTCATTTCCTGACTGGCAGCGAACAAGCCACGCAATCTCTCAGAGGTTGCAGATTGATGAGGAAGGGTTGGGAGTTGGCGATCCTGGGTTTCTGCATTTGTAAAATGGATATCATAATGCCTCCCTGGCAGGACTGCAATGCCAGTGAATGAGACACTATGTGTAGTGTCCAGCTTGGGGGATACTCAGTTGGAGGTGGTTGTTATTAGATTGATTGATTTTTAAACCTTGTATTGTAAATTGAGTAAAAGTTTACAGAGCAGATCATCAGTTTTACATTCAACAAATCATATACTTTGCTTCATTGCAATGATTGGAATCCCCTCCGTGTACCATCAGTTAATAGTATTTACCTCTATCCACTCTAACTCTTATAGTCCTCCCTGTATCTCCCGCTACTTTAATTTTTCCCCTGCCAACCCTCCTCTTGTTGGATATTAAGGTTGTAAATCTTTATGGAAGCATACTTCTGTATCTTTCTCTTGTGATTAACAGCTGAGTGCTTAACCACTGTGCCACCAGGGTTCCTTAGGAGCTCAATAAATAAATGCATATTTACCTCTCTTCCCTTAGTATTTGGTGGTAGAAGGAGAGGAGGATAGGGCCAGAGTGGGATGCTAGAATGCAAATTTCTGAATGGAGTGGTTTGGGGTGATGAACAAGTCGTTGGATATGAGGCTGGCTGGGAACTGGGGTGTTGGAGTCCTAGGTGGGTTATGCGTATGGTCAGTGACATCCTCACCAAGAGGCAGGAAAGGGGACAGGGGAGGACATGGGTCCCTGTACAGGGTCCTGAGGCCCCAGGAGAGGCCAGAAGGGAGGGAAGGTGTAGGTAAGGTCAGGGATACATGCCCTGTAGGAACCAGATCATGCACCTAGGGTAGGTGGCTGAACCTGGAGGTAAGCTGAATGGGAGGGACCAAGGACCTTCACCCTGACTTCCCCCCAACTGATCTACCCATCTCTGCTCTTTCATTAGCCTGATTTTTGGGATAATAACCGTCGTGACTGGCATCATTGGAGTTGTCCTGGGGGCAGAGGCTGCAAGGAGATATAAGAAGGTCAACCCGAGGGCTGAACCCCTCATCTGTGCCTCCAGTCTGCTTGTTGCAGCTCCCTGCCTCTACCTGGCTCTTGTCCTGGCCCCAAGCTCTCTCCTGGCCTCCTACGTAAGTGAGGTTGCCTTTGGGGTGGGTGGGGAACTCAGATCTTTATGGGCAGGATGTTTATTTCTTCCAGGTAGAGCATGTTATCTTCATTTTACAGATGAGTCAATTAAGGCTCAGGTAGGAGGAACAAAAAGTTTGTGAGAAATGAAATGAAAAGATAATGGAATTCTTCCACAACCTTTTTGAAGCCCCCTTGTAGCTTACAGAGAGTTACACAGCTGGGAAGGAGCAGAGCTGGCATTTGAACCCAAGTCTTTCCAGCTCTGAAGTGTGTCCTTTTAACCTCTAGTTAACACTTTGAATTGAAACAACAGGACTCACTTATTCTCAGGGCATTCTTGAGAAGCAATGGTGCAATTCTCCCCAGGTTGTTGTTGCTTTTAAGCGCCGTCAAGTCATTGCTGATTCATTGCAACCCTGTATAGGGTTTCCAAGGAGCAGTTGGTGAGTTTGAACCGCCACCTTTGTGGTTCAAATGGACCTTGCAGTCCAGCACATTAACCCACAGTGCCACACCAGGACTCCTGTCCTTAGGATAAGGATTTGAAAATGAGGCACAGATTGGTTATTGCTTTAAAGGTGGCGACATGATAATATTACGTTCCACCGAACTATATCCCCTAGCATCCATTCCTGTCTCTCACTCTCAGTCTAGTTCCGCGTGTACACGCTCAAACCTCCCGGTCTTTGCTGTACCCACTCCCTCCACTAGGGACACTGTTTCTCTCTTCTGTGCATCATGAAACCTGGCAAGACTACCTTCATAGAGACTTCCTGTGCAGAAGAATTCATATCAGAATTCACCACTTCTTTCTGGGCTCAAAATATGTTTATCACCATTAAAGCCAAGGTGAATGGGATATCCACAGACAAGGAATCCAGAGAGCAGGATTTGCTCCTCCTCTGTGCAACAAAGTGTTCCTGGTTACCCCAGCCCCTTCCCTGCCTGGGTCCTCAAATGGGAAGCAGTGGCCACTTCAGAGAAGATGGCACCATCCCACACCCAGCCACGTGGACTGCAGTCCCTCCCTTCCCTGGGTCCATGGCCTTGTTGTTTGGCCCAGGGGACCCACCACTGGACTGTGTACTAGGAGGACCCGTGCATGTGTTGATTGGGTTTGCTGAGTGGCTGGGCTCACAGACAAATCAGCACACAGCTTAATTGTTCTCCCATTTGTTCTGGTGGCTCTCCCACCCATGACCAGGTCTCATGGCGTTTCCACATATAGTCATGAGCCTGGTTATATAGGTGAATGCGACTTAACATCTGTTTCAAGAACGTCTGGCTACATATACGCCCATGGTCCCATAAAGGAAAGCAGCAATCCTTTTTGTCTACTATTTCCCTCTAATCGTTTTAAAGACCCCAATCCCAGATTCTCGCAGCACTGGACAACCAGGAAGAAGGGAGTTACAGGCAGGAGGGGAGAGGACATGGCTCTGGGCATGGGCTCTCTGGGCTTTGTCCAGTGGGTAGATGGGAATTGGGGTCTGCAGGGACTGGCTGCTCCTACTGCTCTGGTGGGAGGAACAGTGGGAGCTCCACTTTCTCCTTATTTGCTTTCTCTGACTTTGCTTCCACCGTGGCCCTCTCAGCCTCGGCTGCCCCTCCCTCAGTTTGAGAAGGGGACTTTTCAAGTGAATCCTCCTCGCTGGGGTCTCTGGATAAACTAATGGAGACACACAAAACTCTTTATTTTTTCTCTCTGGGTCCTGCAGATTCTCTGCAACATCTTTTAAGGTATGGGTTTTTGCCAAAATTTCTGGAATATAGAAAAATCCTGTTATCATTTGCTTTTCCACATGCTTTTATTGTTGTTGTTATTAAGTGCCGTTGAGTAGGTTCCGACCCATAGCAACCCTGTATAGGGTTTCCTAGGAGTGGCTGGTGAACTTGAACTGCTGACTTTGCAGTCCAGTGTATTAACCCACAGCGCCACACCAGGACTCCATGCTTTTATTAAGCCCTCATAGTTTCCTTGTGGGGAAGAATTTTGCTCATATCTACTTGATATGTTGGAAAACTGAGGTTCAGAGACAGTAACAGACAAGCAGTGGGACAAATAAAACTCAAACTCAGCCACACAGACTCCAAAGTCTGTGTCCCTCATGCCACACTGTCCCTTGCCACCTCTGTGGAAAGAAACAAAGCCTGGGATGCCCTAAACCAATCTACTCCTAATTCATGGCGACCCCATTTTTGTGTCAGAGCAGAACTGTGCTCCATAGGGCTTTCAAGGGCTGAATTTTCAAAAGTAGCTTGGCAGGTCTTTCTTCCAAGGCACTTCTGAGTGGCCTTCTCATTAGCAATTAAGCATATTAGCAGTTTGTACCACCCAGGTCTCCTGGTGTACACTGGGCACCAGCAGATGCATTAATGTGCATTGTCTGAGGGAGTGGGAGATGAACCTGGACAGGGCCTGACCTGGCAGGGAGGTGAGACCTGGGCAGATGGAGGCCCCATCAATGGCCTGTCCCTGCATTGGCTGGGGCCAGGGACCCCCTGCCACTGCTGCTTCTGCCACTGCCTTGCTTGGTTCTGGCAGCCAGCTCCTTGGCTGTGTTTTGGGGACAGAGTTGGCGTATCTCCAGAGTTGGATGGGCTCATCTAGAAATGACATTGCGTCTTGGCAGGCAAAGCCACCTGGAAAAGAAACTCTCCTTTTGGCCTGTCTCGGGGAGTAGAGGCAAATGGCAGGAAGATGGGCAGGGCCAGGCTGAGTCCACTCTTCTGAGCTGTGGCCCGGGCCTGGGTCTAGTGCTGACTCCTGAGGCCAGAGTTCTAAGCAATGTCTCCCCCTCCAGAAGGGGTGCAGTCTCCTCCATCTCCAAACCTAACTTGCCCATGGCTCTATCTGTGTCTCTGAATTCGTCTGGATGTCCTGTCTTGAGACTCAGACTCCTGTTTCCTCTACCCCCCAGGTCACCAGTCAGGAAACTCTGGATGTCTCCCAAAGCTCCCCGCCACCCTGGCAAAGGCCTTACCATCTTCCCCAGGGCTATTCTGGGAATAGGAGCCCTGGCAGCACTGTAGGATAAGCACTGGATTGCTAATAATTGCAAAGTCAGCAGATCAAACTTACCAGCTGCTACACAGGAGAAAGATGAGGCTTTCTATTCTTGTCAAGATTTACAGTCTTGGAAACTCTATATAGAGTCTCTATGAGTTGGCATTGACTCAATGGCTGGGGCTTTTGGTTCTGGGAACAAGAAGCTCTTGTGGTGCAGTGACTTAAGTACTGGGCTGCTAGCCGAAAGGTTGGCAGTTTGCGCCCACCAGCAGCTCTGGGGGAGGAAGATGAAGCAGGCTATTTGGTGAAGATTTATAGGTTGGGAAACCTGAGTGGTTCTCTCTATCCTAAAGGGTCACCATGAGTTGGAATCAACTCAATGGCCGTGGGTTTTGTCTTGGTTTTTGGTTCAGGGTGTCACCTTCCTGGTCTATACTTTCCTAATCACCCATCACAGTCTGCTGTCTTTACATGGCCAGAGTGAGCTTTCTGACTCTTTGGATCTTCCTGCTCAAAAGCCTTGCAGGGCTCCCTGGTGCCTCTGGAACCAAATCCTAGTCTTCATCCTGGCATTCAGAGCCCCTCATGATCTGCCCTGACAACCTTAATAGCCTTATCCCTTCACTGTAGTCCAGCCATACAGGGCTTCTTTGGATGCCTAGGGCAAGCCCTGTGCTTCCTACGCCTGACTCTTCCTCTCCTCACTCTGGGCCTTTAAGGGCCAGTTCAAACACTGTCTTCTCCATGGAGCCTTCTCTGATGCTCTTAGTCCTTGCTTTTGTTGTTAAGTGCTGTCAAGATGGTTGACTCATAGTGACCCTGTATAGAGTTTCCAAGGAGAAGCTGGTGAGTTCGAACTGCAGACCATGTGGTTCAAACTGACCTTTAGGTCGAATGCTTATCCTATGGCACCATACCCCGATTCCTGCCATCAAGTCTGTCTCTGACTTGTGGTGACCCCATGCACAATGGAACGAAACACTACCTGATTGTGTTGCTGTGATCTATAGGGTTCTCATTGGCTAAGTTTTGAAAGTAGATTTGCAGATCTTTCTTCATGGTCTGTTTTAGTCTAGAAGCTTTGCTGAAAGCGGTTCAGCATCATGGCAACACATAGACTTCTACCAAGAGATGGGTGGTGGCTGAGTGCATGAAGTCCATTGGTGGGAATCAAACCCAGGTCTCCTGCCTGGAAGGCAACAATTCTACCACTGAGCTATCATTGCCCCACTTGTCTTCCTTGTTGTTGTTGTTGTTGTTAGTGCCATCAAATCTATTCCGACTCATAGTGACCCTGTATAGGGTTTCCGAGGGGCTACTGGTGAGCTTAAACCACTGAGCCTGTGGTTCAAACCAACCTTGCAGTCCTGTGCATTAAGCCATAATGCCACACCAGGACTCTGTCTTTCTTGGGGCATGGTTATTTATGCTGACTTTTCTCTCAGCCCAGTCTGGGAGCTTTAGCAGTACCCTGGTCTAGTTCCATGTTTCTCTCAACACTCCAGCCCTCAGTGCGCCGTCGAGCATATGGGGAGTAGAGGTGGTCAGTGTTTGCTGAGTGAATGATTAAGTAATGAGCATATGTTTATATATTCAAAGAATATTCATTGAGGGCTTATTCAGGGGAATGCTAATTTGAATGCTGAAGATTTAAGCAGTGAATGAAGTTGACCAAAATAGCTCTGTCACTAATGAAACTTGTATTCCAATGAAGGGCAATAGACTACCAACAAGACACATAAGTTAAAATTCATAACATTTCAGATAATAATAAATGCCTAGGAGAAACATAAAGGCATGAAAGAAAATAGGGAGTGTGTGTTTGTGTGTGTTGATGGGTCTGGGAAACTGCAGTTTTATGTATGTAGTGTAGGATAAAGCACTGGACAACAGGGTTGGTTTGAACTACAAGGTCGGTGGTTCAAACTCACCAGTCGCTCCTTGAAAACCCTATAGAGGGTCGCTATGAGTCAGAGCTGACTCGACAGT